TAGGTCTGGGAGGGGTTAATTTACTTCAGGAAATACTAGTTGGATGTCTGTGTTGATCATCCAACAGCATCAATACTTTGAGTCACTGTCCTAACAAGACTTTACAAGAACAAGCATGCAGCCAGTGAATTTAGAGTCTGAATTCCTGCTCTGCATAGTTGATTCAAGTCAGAAATCACTGTAACTACTGAATCAGAACAATGATCGGGCAGAAAGTATTTTCAGAAAGAAACATCAGCAATGACTTTGCATGAATTCCATTCAGCACTGGTTTTCCTTTAAGGCATTGTGTCTTATGCAAATGGATTTTGATATGAATCCTTATGAAAGCTAATAAAAATTGAAGTTAGAGTAAAATAAAACTAAATTTCAGCTGATGGGCAGGTGGACAGATTAATGTAATCTTTCAGATTTGTAATTGCTTGATCTGGGATACTGTACACCCTTGCTTTTGTATTGTAGCATAAATACAGTATGCTCGTAATGTGATCTAATGCATAGTACAATATATGTGTGTGTATGTAGCGCCACCCTGTAGGGGCCACTGGAAGATGATGGTCCCCCCAAAGATTGCCCTGACCTTGCAAGGCTTCCGACACCTCTGACACCTTGGGTTCAGACATGGTTTACAAAGAATTACACTTGTAATGACACCAAAATGTAGTAAAGCAATTGGGGTATTTACTAGAAGTTATCCAGTCAACGGACAAAGATTAGTTTAAGCAAATACCTATGGTATAAACCATCTAGACTTAAGGGTCTAAGTCACAGATATGCAATGAAGGTAAATCAAACAGCAAATATAAGCAGGTCCTTGTAGAACCTACGACCCCAAGTATGAAAGGAAGACGGAAGACTTTCCTGTGTCAATTCTCTCCCTTAAAGTCTTGATGCCACGGGCCCAGAAAAGTATCAACCATTTCTGAATGAGAATTCCCCCTAATATAAACAGAGTCCTGTAAGTGAGAGAGGGAAAACAAGAGAGAAAGGTCTTGCCAAAGTGATGTGCTCAAATTCTTCAGCTAGCTCAATCACGATCCAAAGGGATTGCTGAGCAATGGTGACCAGCAATAATGAATAGCATGAGCAAGTGTTTCCTGTTAGTAGCTTTGGGGGGTTAAAGAGATAAAGTAAAGGCGTCTGTATGCAATGTCCTTAGAAAAGTGTAATCAGTGTGGGCTTTTGGCCGCTCACCAATCCAGAAGATACCAAGGCTCAAGGGAAAGAGACATCCCAGAACAGGCTCTTGAAGAATATATGTCCAGTGAGAGGCGCCAGAATCAAGCAATTGGTGATGCTGGGTCTTAGCTGAACCGGTTCTGGTGACAATGTAAGTGACCCTCGATAGTCACTCAACCACAATGGAGTTGGAACGGATGGTTTGCCCGCAGGTATATGGATCACCCACAGAAGATTCCCCGCGCTGTCTGGGCCACAAGGCCAGCTCTCTGGCGTGGCCGGGTCCCTCCTTTCAACCTCTGTTGGTGGTCCCAAGAGAGCGAGCTTTCCCCAGGTCAGGCTTTATATGTCCTCTCCCAGCATTTCCCCTTTCTTTCCAGTTGGCTGGACCTTGTAGTTGACTCCATGCGAAAACCCGGCCCTTGGACTACATGTTCCACAATCCCTTACTTTCAGTAACAGTCCACCTCTCATTGCTTCCAGGGCACAATGTCACAATTACTAGACTGATCACTAGAGGGATACAAGCTCATGGCAGTCTTTGCTAAAATGTCCCTCAATCATGCTGGTGAGCTAGCGAGCACTTGGCTACATATATAAAATACATGAATAGTATTTCTATGTTCAAAAAGAAAGTCAAAATCTTTCCATGGGCTTTCCTGCTGCTTAGAAGAGACCCTGTTTCCTGGCCATATATTTCAGCAAAAACCCATAAGTTTATATGTGCATTTACCATATTTTATGAATGTTATTTATCCGTCAGCAGTTCCAACAGACTCAAAGCTGTCACTCATTGGCATTCTATAGCAGCCTTTCTAATTTTCAGGTCTCAGAGAACCCCTGCTAAAATCAATTTATCAAGGATCAGTGGGAAGATACTGTCCTTACATTGTAAGAATAATGCCACCTTTATTCTTTTTTTTACCATTTTTTTACAATATTATTCTCTTTTACAGTCTTTTTATGAGCCCAATGGGGGGCTTTGGTGAAATATCAGGGATCTAAACAACCCTCCTGGTGTTTCACTTTTGGAACAGAGAAAAGAGATTGAGGACACAACCTTCAATCTCCTTTGCTGCAGCCTCAGCTGCACAGAATGAATGGACAGGAATAGTTCTGTACAGAGCTACCTGTCCATTCATAAACTGAGGCATAGTAAACACAGTTTATTATGTTTCAGTTGTCAATGGACAGAGTCAGTGATCGGTACTGACACTTGACTTGGCAAATTACACCTTTACTGGCCCCTTCCCCGCTCTCCATCCTGACAGATACCCTGCAGCAGCTGACGGGAAAGGGGAGGGGGGGGGGGAAACAAGTCAGAAAGTCAGAGCTGTGGGGAAGGGGGGTTGGGAAAGAGTGGGGGGGGGGCTGAGAGTATGGGGGGGGTAAAAAGCACAGGGGGTGGAGAACACATGGGCCCAAAGAGCAAGGGGGCGGAGCGGAGAGCACAGGTGGTAGGAAAGCAAGGGGGGGGGGGGGGACTGAGCAGCAGAAAGAAGCTGGATTGTTTGGTGGCTGCATATAGAGGAATCAATCTCTCCATTTTCCCACTGCAGCCACTGTAGGAGGAAAAGCTGGGATTCAGTGGCTTCAGGAGGAAAATGGAGAGATAATTTTCTTTATATGCAGCTGCCCCCTCTGCTCCTCTTATCCAGGCATACAGGGGGGCCGCACAGGCCCCCTGCAGCATATAGCTGGGTTGCAGTTGCGACCCTTGCAACCCCTGTAGGTTTGTCCCTTGACTATGACATGCAAGAAGGAAGGGAGTGGTGCTGGAGAACTGTCTTTTTGAATGTAGTCAGATTTTCTAGCAAGTCTAGCAAAGGCACACTGGAAATCAATAAAAATATTATTGATAGAAAGAAATACACTGTAATTAACGATTTAGCACACTTGATTTTTCATTCTTTTACTGGCAATATTTTAAGTTGGTAGTAAAAATCTTTTGTAGGTTCCCATGGCCATAGTGATGTAATGAAATAAGACCACAAGGGAATTGTTTGGAAGGATATATTATGTGGCCTTCATGATCAGATCCTTCACTTCTTTCCAAAATTGACTAATATGAATGCATTCCCATGAGGCAGGAACTTTCCTTGCTGATTGCATGTGCAGTGGAGACTGCTTGATATATCATGGACACTTTAGCTGATACTCTATACCATCTATAAATTAATTTATAGCATGATTCTTGTATTTTAGAGTGAACCAGTAAGGTGTGGGCTAGCTTTAAAATTTTAGAAATCATCCCTCTCTGAAAATTATCTACCTAGTTCCTTCTCCCACACCCTAATATAGTATGTGATGGGCATGGATATCATCCCCAAGAGCAGCTTATACATATCTGAAAGGGGTCGCAGAGAGAGGTCATGGCTTTTACACAAAAACTCAATTAAGTCATGTCCTTACATGCTCGAAATGGTGTGCCCAAGATTCACTAAAAATTAAGCATTCAGTGCGTTTCAAAGAATCAAGGGGGATTTCCCTTTTCCCATTGTAGATAATCCATCGTCTTCAAGTGGGAGCCCTCCATGAAGTGGAAACAGCTAACCTCTCCAGGACCCCATCATCCTTTCCCCATCAGCAAACTTCTAGAAACCCACATATTCCCATTAACAATGTGGGCTAGAGCATTATCCCTGTAATAAAGGTAGACATCGGGAAAACCGAAGCCTCAAGTATCTTTTGTTCATTGTAGTAACAAATATGATGGCCTTGGTTTCTTCCCGCTCCATATAAAGCTAGTGAACAAAATGCAGATTTCAAGAAAATATGTTTTACGGATAACTATATAAAGCATTTGGATGGAAAATTAAAATGGGTCAATCTAGCTATTTTAGAATGTTGATTCAAAACATTTTTCTCAAATTTTTCTTAAATTTGGAAAGCTCCTGAAATCTATCTAACCCTACCATAATATTGGTAGAGAGATATTGGCTAAGAAACAAAAAAAGGAAGTTGTCAGCAAACCCAGCTAATTTTTGTGATTTCAGTCCCACCTGGATACCTCCCAATGTTCAGGTTGAGTCAAAATATATGGAGCAAGGCTTCTAGCACTAGAACAAATAATGTAAAGCAGTGGCTTCCAAACTGTGGCCCTGGGGCTGGATGTGGCCCTTTGCTTGCCTTTATCCGGTCCATGGGGTACTATTCCTCCCACCGATACAAGGCATTATTCCTCCCCACTGACACCAACAATGGAGCATAATTCCTGTCACTGATACCAACAATGGGGCACTATTCCTTCCACTAACACCAATGGCAGGGCACTATTCTTCCCCCTGACACCAACGAGGGGGTACTATTCTTTCCCCTGACACCAACAATGTGGCAACATTCCTCCCACTAATATCAATGATGGGTCATAGTTTACTCCCATTGATGCCAGGGCTTTTGCTACTCACAATGGCCACAGTCCGGCCCTCTCAAAGTCTGAAGGACAGTAAACTGGCCCTTTGTTTAGAAAGTTTAGAGATCCCTGGTGTAGGGGATAGGGGACACCTTTGCCTGGTTTGCCTACAGTTATTAATTCTGAAACCCATTTAGATGTGCTGTAATTATTAGCTTTAGTCCCGGCTGATGTGTTCCTATACAATGCAGACATCCATATGAACATGTTAGCAGCATGATCTAGATGTGCAATGGCTTCATCTTTAACATCTGGGGCTATCAAAGGGTTAACTGTGTGCTGTGTGTGTTTTACTATGAGGCTGTGTCTGTGCTTCCACTGTAAGCACACTGCTTTGTATGGCTCTGCTATGCACAGCCACGCAAAGCAGTGTGCAGGAGCTGACAATACAGTTCTCTCCCTCTGTCAGTATTACTCGGTAATCACCGGGTGCCGACGAGTAATCACCACCCGGGACCCGGTGATTGACAGCCGAGGCCACAAATGGCGGCGTGGGTAGGGCCCTCTACCCGGAAATGTGAAATCACGTATATAAATATATATATATACGTGATTTTGCGCACCCCTGCCACCCTGTGGTTTTATTTCTGCTATAGGGTAGCGGTTAACCCCTTCCTGCCCAGTGCCATTAGTTTTTATAAGCACTGATCACTGTATTGGTGTCACTGGGGATGTTAGTGATACCAAGTCAGTTCCCCCCAGTGTCAGAATACCCGCCGCAGTCCCGCTATAAGTCGCTTATCGCCACCACTAGTAAAAAATTAAAAAACATAAAAAATTCCAGTATCTATACCGCCATTTGTAATCGCTATAACTTTCACGTAAACCAATTAATTTACACATATTGGGATTTTTTTTACAAAGATGTAGCAGAATACATTTTGGCCTAAGTTTATGACGAAATTATTTTTTTTAAAATTCTTTTATTGGACATGTTTAATAGAAAAAAGTAAAAAAATATAGTTTTTTTTCTCAAAATGGTCAGTCTGTTTTTGTTTATAGCACAAAAAATAAAAAATGCACAGGTGATCAAATACCACTGAAAGAAAGCTCTATTTGTGGAAAAAAAGGACATAAATTTCATATGGGTGCAGCATTGCATGACAGCGCAATTGTCAGTTAAAGTATCGCAATGCCGTAATGCAAAAAATGGCCTGGTCAGGAAGGGGGGTAATTCCTTTGGAGGGAAAGCGGTTAAAGACCCAATATATTCTAAAAAATGCCTTTTTGGCATGAGTCGTCAACATAAGGCAGGATGGGAGATAAGATTTAGCCTGATGTATTAAAGAAATTGCTTTCAGTGAATTGCCCCATCCGTCACGTTTCAGGACAAATCCCACCTGATCTTGGTGGACAATCTTGCCTATAAACAGTTTCATCCTGTCAGCCCGGATATTGGGCAAGACTTTGACGTCCATATTGAGTAACGAGATAGGGCAGAAGTTTGGATAGAATGACTGATCTTTGCCCTCTGCGTAACGCCATAATATGAGCCAATTGAGTGACTTCTGAAATAGTTCCCCCTCCAGTTAAAGAATTGGAATAGGAGGCCATAAATGGGGTGAGGAGATGAAAGTATTTTATTTAATACACTCAGGTTGGCTTACCAGGTCCCAGTTTTTTTTCCAGATCCCATGTTTTAGAGTGTAACTAGAATTTCAGTAGGGGTAATAGTCTGCTCTAAATCCTGACAAATTTGATGATCCAGGTTAGGATAATCAACTTCTGCTCTATATTATTGGATCTTTCTTCACCTGGCATGCTGTTGGGCTTCCAATTGTTCCCCCTGAAGAATTTACAAAGCTGTACAGTACTCCTGAAAAAGCTTCTCACCCCTAGAGGCTGTAAGGGCAGGGATATAGGAAACATTAACCCTCTTATTAAGCGTTCATGCTAGCATATGTCCACAGTCAAATATAATTTATACCCTCTGGTAAACTGTCTTCAGGCCACTCTGTAAACCCCCTGGGTTATGGAAGAAAGCAAAGAGAAGAAGAATCTCCCTAGGCTTTTTCTATGGGCTTTTGTTATGTGCAAAATATAGTATGGTGTCACTTTCATCTACACTAGTTTAAACAAACCAGAATGTTATCACATCAATGTTACCTTTTTTAACAACTCTGAGAATAAAACATTTCCCTGCAAAGAAAAAACAAAATACTTATTTTCACATCCTGCACTGCTGAACAATGAAGAGAAATCATTTTTCAAAGTCTCTGGGGAGAATACGCTTCCAAGAGCCAGCTTGCCAAAGCCAAATACAAAAGCTAAAAATCTAGGTAATATTCCTTGATCATTTAGAAACATAATACTGATGATATAGTAATTGATAATGCTTCACATTCCTCAGCAGTGCGCACATTCACACTGGTAGACTACATTGGCAAGAAAACCAAACATTTCAATGTAAAGTGAGCACCCCAGCTGTGGAGAGGAGATGAACGTAAACTGCAGTCATGATAAAAGTAAAATATATGTGTGAGAAGACACACGGGCATTTCTGGGATCTTAAAAGGCTCAGGCAACCTCAGTCTCTCCACCTAGAGTGATAAGATGAGTAGTGCCACAGCAAACAATCCTCTGGTCTGCTCCTTTCCTTCTCATCTACTCTCTTGGTTGAACATCAGGGTTGGATCTAGCCCAGGTGTCAGGAATGGACTGGCCAGCAATGGTGGGACTCACCTGCCTTTTGATCTGCAGTACCAGGGCTGGCCAGTGGGTGCTCCCAGCAATCAGAGACTCATCCTTTCAGCCAGCTAACACCTGGAACTGATGATACTGGTGTATTTAAGGGATGGCCAGACTTGCAGACTCTGCCTTGGTGTTGTGTTTGTCCTGGGCCCTGTATCTGTCCTGCATCCTGTTTCTGTTCCTTTGCTGACCCTGCCTGATCTGAACCGCTGCTGACTTCTCCTGCTCTGATCCCGGCTCGCTCCTGACCATCCCTCTGCCTGACCCTCTGTACCACGCTGCTTGCTACCTGTTCTGATCCCTGGCTTGTGACCCTGACCATCCCTCTGCCTGACCCTCTGTACTACGCTGCTAGCTACCTGCTGAACCTGGCCTGTTACCCCGACCCATCTCCGCTTGCTCCCCCTGTACCTACCTGCCCTATTGATATTGACCCGGCCTGCCTGACGATGCTTGCTTGTATGTACTGTTATCTGTGGGTGGTTGGTTTGGTTTGTTTGCACTGTGTTATGTTTTAGTATTGCACTGCGTTTATGTTTGTATGGTTAGTGTTAATAAATTATATTGTTTATCACATATCTGAAGTCTGCGTTTCCCTGCGTCAGTCACACACCTCTGGTCACACCTGGGAGCCCTGACATTACACCAAGGCCAATCCTGACCAGAAGTGGCTGCACAGGGAAGCCATCTTGGCTTGTTGCTGGGAAGGATGGATCTGGATGAGGTTGTGTATTTATATCTGCTAGTGCTTGATGACAGAAAATATGCTTATCAGACTCTGAAGGAGTATACCCGGGATGAACTGCTAGAATGTATACGGCTCGCTCATGTTCTAGTAGATCAGGGCACAGATTTCTCTATGGTGCAGCCATTGATTAAGGTTTGTGTTGAGTTGGTTTCATCTGGTTCCCCCGAATGCAGGGATGAATTTTTGCCACCATTTAGTGCAGACCAGGTAGAGTCCCTGGTGTGGTTATTAGAGGATGATGTGGGTTACTTTCTGGAGCGTTATTCCACATGTTCACCACAGATACTAAGAGATTGTATAAACGCAGTGCAGTCTTTGGTCAGACAGGCTTTGTGTAAGCTCAGCTTTGTTCAACCCATACTGCAGACATAGACAGACTTGTTGCACCCAGCCTCAGTCAGCTTACAAAGACCCAGTCCTGCTTCTAATCTATTTCCTCAAAGCTCTACTCCTGTCCTGTATTCCCAACAGCTCCTCCTGCCCTGCTATCTACCGCATGTCAGTACCCTGTTCCCACTCGCTGCACCTATCCTGCCTTTAACCCTGTAAAAAAGCCCTCTGTAGCAACTGCTCCCTCTCCTGTTCCATCCTCCAGTTCTTCTCTGTCTCCAGCTGCTCCATTCGTTTGCAGACCTGCGTTTACTTGCAGTGCTCCAGTAGTTAAAACCAGAAAAAAAGCGAAAATTCTTTCCAACCAATACCATCCTGCCAGTATCCAAACCGGTGAACCTGCCTTCCGTGGTTCAGCCTGAATCCCCTACTCAGCCTGAATCCCCTACTCAGCCTGAATCCCCTACTCAGCCTGATGCCCGTACTCAGCCTGATGCCTCTCTTCGGCCTGAAGCCTCTACTCGGCCTGAAGCCTCTACTCGGCCTGAAGCCTCTACTCGGCCTGATGCCTCTACTCGGCCTGATGCCTCTACTCGGCCTGAAGCCTCTACTCGGCCTGATGCCTCTACTCGGCCTGGAGCCTCTACTCGGCCTGGAGCCCTCTACTCGGCCTGATGCCTCTACTCGGCCTGGAGCCTCTACTCAGCCTGAAGCCTCTACTCTCCGGACGCCGGCATTCAGCCTGATGCCTCTACCCAGCATGATGAACTGATCCAGCCTGACGATCCTATTAGGCCAGTTGACTCGATGCCCGCTGTTGATCCAGATGATCCGGTACCTGATCCGGTGCCTGCTATCGTGCCAATTGACTCAGAGCCCGCTGTCGTACCTGGTGACTCGGTGCCCACTGCCTTGCCAGATGACGCGGTGCCCGCTGGCGAGCCAAATGACCTGATGCCTGGTGACCCAGGGCCCGCTGTTATATACCTGGTGACCCGATGCCCGCTGTCGAGCCAGACGATCCAATGCCTGGTGATCCGGCGCCCGCCGCCCCGCCTGGGGGCCTGAGACCTGTCGCTCCGCCTGAGGGCCCGAGACCTGTCGCTCCATCTGGGGGTCTGGCGCCCGCCGCTCCGCCTGGGGGCCCGATGCCTGTCGCCCCGCCTGGGGGTCCGGCGCCCGCCGCCCCGCCTGGGGGCTCGATGCCCCGTCGCCCCGCCTGGGGGCCCGATGCCCGTCGCCCCGCCTGGGGGCCCGATGCCCCGCCTGGGGGCCCGATGCCCGTCGCCCTGCCTGGGGGCCCGATGCCCGTCGCCCCGCCTGGGGGCCCGATGCCTGTCACCCCGCCCGGGGGCCCGATGCCTGTCTCCCCGCCCGGGGCCAGGTGCCTGCTGCTCCGCCCGGGGGCCCGCTGCCTGCTGCTCCGCCCGGGGGCCCGCTGCCTGCTGCTCCGCCCGGGGGCCCGGTGCCCGCTGCTCCACCCGGGGGCCCGGTGCCTGCTGCTCTTCGCCTGGTAATCCGATGTGCCTCTGCCCGGTGTGCCTCTGCCCGGTGTGCCTCTGCCCGGAGTCCAGCCCGGTGTGCCGCTGCCCGGAGTCCTGCCCGGTGTGCCTCTGCCCGGTGTGCCTCTGCCCGGAGTCCAGCCCGGTGTGCCGCTGCCCGGAGTCCTGCCCGGTGTGCCGGTCTTTGATATCCCGCCAGTTACCAGACCCGGGCGGTGGAACATTTTGCCCAGCTAGGACTGTTTGGAGCGTCCTGAGGCCGCTCCTTGAGGGGGGGGTACTGTCAGGAATGGACTGGCCAGCAATGGTGGCACTCACCTGCCTTTTGATCTGCAGTACCAGGGCTGGCCAGCGGGTGCTCCCAGCAATCAGAGACTCAACCTTTCAGCCAGCTAACACCTGGAACTGATGATACTGGTGTATTTAAGGGATGGCCAGACTTGCAGACTCTGCCTTGGTGTTGTGTTTGTCCTGGGCCCTGTACCTGTCCTGCATCCTGTTTCTGTTCCTTTGCTGACCCTGCCTGATCTGAACCGCTGCTGACTTCTCCTGCTCTGATCCCGGCTCGCTCCTGACCATCCCTCTGCCTGACCCTCTGTACCACGCTGCTTGCTACCTGTTCTGATCCCTGGCTTGTGACCCTGACCATCCCTCTGCCTGACCCTCTGTACTACGCTGCTAGCTACCTGCTGAACCTGGCCTGTGACCCCGACCCATCTCCGCTTGCTCCCCCTGTACCTACCTGCCCTATTGATATTGACCCGGCCTGCCTGACGACGCTTGTATTGTATGTACTGTTATCTGTGGGTGGTTGGTTTGGTTTGTTTGCACTGTATTATGTTTTAGTATTGCACTGCGTTTATGTTTGTATGGTTAGTGTTAATAAATTATATTGTTTATCACATATCTGAAGTCTGCGTTTCCCTGCGTCAGTCACACACCTCTGGTCACACCTGGGAGCCCTGACACCAGGGGTGGGCAAACTTTTTGACTTGAGGGCCGCAATGGGTTCATATATTGGACCCGGGGGCCGGACCAAGAGTAGATAGTAATTCATCCCCCATATAGTAATTCATCCCCCATATAGTAATTCATCCCCCATAGTAATTCATCCCCCATATAGTAATTCATCCCCCATATAGTAATTCATCCCCCATATAGTAATTCACCCCCCATATAGTAATTCACCCCCCATAGTAATTCATCCCCCATATAGTAATTCATCCCCCACAGTACTATTCCCCCCCCAAGTAGTAAGCCAAGTCCCCCCTGTGTCAATTCACTTACCTTTGCTCTGCGCGTTCCTCTCGCCGTGTTCCCGCGCCGTTCTGGTCTTCAGGGCGGACTGTGAGAGGAGCCTAGCTCCCCTCCCCTCACGTTCGTCACGCTGCCCCACCTACACACATCCTGACAGCCAATGTTTGCCTGCCCTGGCTGTGTTTTTTTTTTAGCACACTCCGCGGGCCGGATTAAAAGGTCCACCGGGCCGTATACGGCCCGCAGGCCGTAGTAGTTTGCCCATTGCTGATCTAGCCTATCCGATCTGAGGGTGCAGTAAAAAAAGTCAGGGGAATAATTTCAACACCGTGTGAGTCACTGACAGTCTTTCACACAGTGTCACAACTTGGGAAACACAACTTGGGTGATTATAAAAAACCTGTGCCCCCTTATATCAGATGGCCCTATCAGAGTCCCCCTTTTTCTTTAGGAGTCCTCATTAGAGTCCCCCTATATATCAGGTTCCTATTAGAGTCCCCCTTACATCAGATGGTACCATCAGAGTGTCCCCTTACATTAGATGTCTCCATCAGAGTGCCCCTTTGCATCAGGTGTCTCCATTAGAGTGCCCCCTTACAACAGTAACCCCATTGAGGTCCCCCCTTAAATCACAGTCCCCATTAGAGTCCCCCATGCATCAGAGTCCATCTTAGGAGTCCCCCTTAACATCCAGGTCCCCATCAAAGCCCCCTTTAATTTCAGGCCCCCATTAGAGTCACCCTTTACATAAGGTTCCCATCAGAGTCACCCTTACATCAGATGGTACCATCAGAGTGCTCCCTTACATCAGCCTCCATCAAAGCTCCCCTTACTTCCAGGTCCCCATAAAAGTGCCCCTTACATCAGATGTCCCCATCAGAGTGCCCCCTTACATCAAGTGTCCCCATTAGAGTTGCCCTTTACATCAGGTGTTCCCATCAGAGTTCCCCCTTTTATCAGATGTTCCCATCAGAGTTCCCCCTTACATCAGATGTTCCCATCAGAGTTCCCCCTTACATCAGATGTTACCATCAGAGTTCCCCCTTACATCAGGTGTCTCCATCATAGTGCCTCCTTACATCTGCTGTCCCCATCTGATTTCACCTTCATCAGGTGTCCCCATCAGAGTCCCCCCTTACATCAGGTGTCCCCATCCTTCTCCAGAGTGCCCCCTTACATCAGGTGTCCTAGGCACTAATAAACAGAAAAATGTGGTGCACAAAGTGCACTGCTGAAAAAAGTAAGTGTGAATTAAATTGCGCTAAATATTGGGCGTGGCTTAAAAGGGGTGTGGTTAAATCGAGTCTGAGATGACTTACATAGTGCATAATGTGGTAATGTTAAATAGGGAATGTACAGCGTGGAGTGTATGTAGTATGTGCAGGGAAAGTATCAGTAGAGCAGCAGACGGTGTCAGTAGTTCTTTTTTTTTTCTTTTATACAATTTATTTTTTAATAGTATCATTTTTTTCATAATGCTTTTAGGTGGCTAGTGGATGGTGTCAGTAGGGCAGTGGATGGTGTCAGTAAAGCAATAGAGGGGGTGTCAGTTGTTTTGTTTTTTTTTTTATTATTATTATTATTTTATTTTTTTATTATTTTTTACAATTTATTTTTGTATTATTTTTTTTCACAATGATTTGAGGGGGATCATTAGACTGGGATGAATAAACAGAACCTGTACTTCCTTATATCACAGGTCCCCATCACAGTCCTCCTTACATCAGATGTCCCCACATGGGACCAGCTACTACCATAGGCTGATGACACAAAACTAACCTTATTCAACTGCATTCGACTCTGCATCAATCATCTCGGACTTTCCATTTAACCTGCTGTAGGAGGTACCAACCAGTGACCTTCCCCTCTACTGGCCTCAGGCACTCGGGAATGCCCAAATGGTCAGTCCGCCCTTTCTTGTGATACATTTCATCCAGATTTTCATCCATGGGTGCAGTGTGGGTCACAACACAGTGCTCCCCTCTCTCGAAGCCTGTATGCAGTGAACACCCTGCAGCCATGGATGTTACTCCACTGCCTCAGAGTGCCTCTTTACATCAACTGTCTGCATTAGACTGGCTCTTGGATTAGTGGATACATTCTCAGAGACCTGGAAGGGGCACAGCTAAAATCTGGGGGAGCACAGCCCACCCCAGCACCCCACCCCCCTAGATCCTGTTCTGTTGGACATATTCCCTATAACTGCTGTGGGAAAAATGAAGACAGTCATTTGATTCTAATAAAAGGCCAACCATGTGATGTACTTTCTGCATCACAATAATTTGATCACTTTATTTATGACGATGATGTATACACCTAAAATAGAAAAACTTTGGCAACACATGTGAATATTGGGAAATGCATTGTGCAAAGTCATAGAAAGCTAAACTTTGCAACACTGATTCTGTCTGTCCTGTATTCTTTGTATGCATTACATTGTGTACAAAACAATTAGCTTTTTGTTCCCATATAAATATTGATATTACCAAAGTAAATGAATCTTGTATCAATACAATAACCAACATTTTTTTATAATATCATATTACATGTACCAGAGTATATTCCTCTGACAGTAATCCTATCATATATCCAATAAAACACAATAAAGACAAATGATGAAATGTAAAGTGCAGTAACCCATAGCCACCTAGCTTAGAGAAGTCAGGGCAATGGAGTTGATTTATACTTCATTGCTTACAGTGCTCTGTATCTTACTGAATAAACCTGTTGTTGGTTATAAACATATAAAAGGTGTTTATGTACTATTTATTTATTTCAGGTAATTATATAGCGCCATCAATTTACTCAGCGCTTTACATATATATTGTACATTCACATCAGTCCCTAACCCTCAAAGACCATACAATCGAAGGTCCCTAACTCACTTTCATACATACTGTACATATATTAGGGCAGATTTTTTTTTAGACAGGAGCCAATTAACCTACCAGCATGTCTTTAGAGTGTGGGAGGAAACTAGAGTACCCGGAGGAAACCCACGCAGGCACAGGTTTAAGAGTATACTACAGTTCCACGTGAAATATTTGCATCTAGAACTACACTGTTGGTGAAAACTTCTAATAGTTGGGTATATGTATTAACAAATGAAGGTAAATTTTTGCACTTTCAGTCATCAAAATAAAACCCCAACTAATCTTCCTATAGGGATCAAATTTCAGTGCCTTTGCGTACCTCATCTAGCCCTGTTCACTGCTCCAGTCTGTGCTGTACCCCTGTAATAATATCCTGTTCAAATATAGACCAGCTGTATGGGCAATACTTACCGCTATGGTACCAAACACTGCACTGTGGGGGAGAAGGAAGGTGGTAGTACTTTGTCTGGTTCTTTGACTATCACAGGTTTCCCACCATTTCTATTAGACTGTCAAATATATTTAATTTATTTTAGTAAAGAAAGCAACTGGAATAGTAAGAATACCCACAGGTGAGATCTTGCAGTAATCCATGTTTCCTTTTTTTCAGTCATCCGACTTCAGTGCCATTAAATCTCATTGGCTGCTGTGGG